CAATGAATAATATATATTTTTTTATTTTTATATAAGTATTTTTTATTATAATTGTTTTTAAATAAAAAAAATTATATCAATTTTTTAAATAAACGATTCAATTATTTTTTCTTTTGTACAAAGAATTTTTTCTTTTGTACAAAGAATTGTTAAGAATATCTTTTTAAACTTTTAAATATACGCGTTTATTAAAATTGTTGTAAGTTGTTACTTTATTTTAAAAAGTTTTTTAAACAAATTAACAACTTACAATTGACAATCGTTAGTTGTAAGTTGTTACTTTATTTAAAAAGGGTTTCGTATAATATTATTTTATAAAAACATTAGTAAAGATAAACAATTTAAAGTTATTTATTTCAAACATAATTTAAATAATCTTATCGTTATAGTTAATTTTTTATTTCAGTTAAGTTTTAATTTTATTTTTGCTATTTTAGTTCTAGTTAAGCTATGTTAATTTTGTTTTTCGTTATTTTTTTATTACGTAGATTTATTTGCTTCTTTAACAAGTTTTTTTTAAGTTTCTTTATAGTTGAGTTAAGATTTGATTGAATTTTTTTAGCGCGTTTTTAAAACGTATACAAATTTTCAAAACATTATATATATATATATATATATATATATATATATATATATATATATATATATATATATATATATATATATATATATATATATATATATATATATATATATCAGTTCAAAAATTTTTTTTATTAATGCATTACTATTCTCACATAGCTCTATACTGTAGGTTAAAATTTTATTCATTTATATATTACTAATTTATATATATATATATATATATATATATATATATATATATATATATATATATATATATATATATATATATATATATATATATATATATATATATATAATACTAATCTATATATTTAGGAAATGAAACTTCTATATATTATTATTCTATGTACTAATCTATATATTTAGGAAAACCGGACTGAATAATAGTTTGTGCAACAGCTCTAAAGTTTGAGATTTATTTATCCACATTTGAACAACTAAAAGATGCATTTCACATGGGATACCAAAAAACTGAATGTTTGGTATCTCATGTGAACCTCAGGCGTTTAAGTTTATTCTGTTTACTAGAAGAGAAAAAATGAAGATTGTAGAACAAGAAAACACTTGACAGAGGACTTAAAAGATTGCAAATTATATGAATCAGGAAAGCAAGATAAAGGAAGCGAATTCCAATGAACTGATGTTCGAGGAAAAAAACTAGACGAATAAGAGTTTTTGGAGCACTTAGGAACAGTAACAGAAAAAGGATGAGACTTAATTGAATGACGAGTAACACGAGAATGAATTTTAGTAGATGGCACAAGAGACGCTAGCTCTTTAGAGCAGTGCCCATTATAGTATTTGTAGAAAAGAGAAAGAGAACCAACATTACAACAATGTGACAAATGTTGAAGGTTGGCTGCAAAAGCAGGTCCAACTATGTTTACAATGAGTTTTGCACCTTGTCTAAAAGAGAAAGGGCATCATTAGAAGATCTGCCCCAGATATGGCAACAATATTCCATACAAGGCCGGATTTGAGATTTATAGAGATAGAGAATAGAATGCAACTTTAGCAGATGCTAATTTTGCAACCGATTTTATATATGGTTACCAAGAAAGATCAGAAGTAAGAGTTAATCCTAGAAGATGAAGGGTAGATGACTCATCAAGTATATTACCGTTCATAAATATAGGAAGATATAAATTATTGCAATAACGATTGGCTGAAAAAAATTGAATTTTATCTAAAATAAAGTTCACCAGCCACTCTGAGCCCCATGCTGTAGCAGAAGTGTGATCCTTTTCAAGCTCAAATGCCCCCTCTAATCAATCAGAGAGTGTTGGGTTCTTATCACGACATAAGAATAAATGGTAGTATCATCAGCAAACAATGCCACCTTAGATGTGAGAATATCTTGAAGATTGTTAATGTAAATTAAAAAGAGTATAGGGTCAAGGATTGAACCTTGAGGAACCCCTGAGGTTACAGAATAAGAAGAAGAGTGCTGTCCATCGAGGACAACTTTTATACTACAATTGGAAAGGAAGGATTCAATAATCTTAAGAATTATGGACCAAAGTTTATCAAACGCTTTGAAAATGTCAAGAGCAATGGCCTTAACCTCTCCACCTTTATCTAATGCACGATAAATATCTAATGCATGATAAAACCTATCAGTTATTACTGTTAGCAAATCAGCCGTAGAAGGAGAAGAACGAAATCCATATTGATGATCAGAAAGTAAGTTACTAAATTCAAGATGAGAGGTTAAGTGTTTGTTAATTAATGATTCAAAAACCTTTCTATTAATAGGAAGAAGACTTATGGGACGGAAGTAAAATAAATAAAAATGCAAAGTTATAAAACAAATCAGATTGTTCTCCAGAATTTTTAAAAATAGGGATAACAGATCCTGCTTTCCAGCAGGCTGGAAAACAAGACTCTGATAAGCACTTGTTAAATAGTTTTC